TAAGGACCACCACATAACAGCTGGCCTACAGGCAGAGAGACCAGTTAACAGCTAGCTGGTTTGCTGCAACTGATCTTTCAAAACAAGAGTGAGGGTATCATGTGTGGCACTGTGCACTCAGATCAGGATTGTTGTCAGAAGTTGGGGAAATCTTGACTTAAATCCAATAATGATGCACAGAAAAGCAACTTCAAACAGCTACTTGAAAATGAAGTGTTAATACAACAGTGGAAGTCTGATGAAGTCATTAGACTTCCACTGACATTGCCTTTGGCTTTACCTGCCATTTGCAGGTTTAGACACCTACTTCAAGCCCAGATGGTTTGATAAGACTGAGCCGGGCAGTTTCAGGTGCTCCTCAGTGAAGCAGCACATTTTATACAGTTATGCTTCAGGAACTAACATGAGGAACACTGGAAGGAAACTGGTTGACAAAAAAAATTTGAAGATTTGCTTATGCTAAGCACCTGTCAGATAAATATGTGGGCTATTTCAGTGACTACACTGGTGGTTTTGAAAGTTGGAAGACTTTAATCTCAGTCTGTTGGAAAATTATATTTTACCACTTAAAAGAAAGTTCTTGACCTTTGGAAATCTTCTGCTGCACACTGTCTTAAAGTCAGGTGATCACTTAATTGAATTTGGCCTGAGCACATACTTCCTTAATTTGTCACTTCATAGATCTGCATATTCAGGAACTTAGATTTGCATCTAAGTGCCTAGATCTAATCTAGATCAGTCATTGTTAGCTGATACCTGATCTATTTAATGAAGTCACTGCTGGGGCTCCTGGTTACTCCTGGAATTTCATTGACTTTAGTGACATAACTGCTATGGCTTCACAGAACCGACACGAGCTTGATAAGGACAGAACTTGCACAAGGTGTAGTCAACCTTTTCACAGCACGGCTGTAACAAGAGACACAATGTGACCGGAGCCAACAATCAATGTGACTCAAAGGCACCTTTTCTGTGAACTGAAAGACCTGCATTTATGTCTTTGACCTCCTGTTTTGACTGAACCATGGCTACAATTTGAAGTCCTGTGCTGCTCCTCACTCACCCTGCGCCAACCTGTCAGCTCATACGGGATTTGCAGTTCAGACAAACCTATTCAAGAATGTACATGGGTGTGTGTGTGTGGGGTTAAAAATAGCCCACATAATTTTTTTTTTGTGCATTGCAGACGGTGTATACAAGTGCATATTGCCCGTGGGTGTAAGGGTGTGTGTGAGAGTCGATCTGCATGCTTTTCCCCTTTGTATGTTATCAAAACAGTTTCTTTTGTCAGCCAACAGGCGCCACTTTCCAAGAATTTTTATCCCGGTTCCTGTGTCTGTTTTATTCTGGCGTGCACGGAATCGTTCTATATCGGATCTGGACATTTGATTATTAAGAAAGTGAACATACAACACAATCATGTGACCCGTAAAAGGAATGTGCCCTGAATGATTTTTCTTTTTCTTTTTTTTTCCTTCAAGGCCATGTCAACTAGTATTTCCAATTTAAAACTGATGATAGTTGGTGTCTGTGCTCAGCATGAATTATTCAATATTTGGCTGTTCTATATTTCGCACTGTCGACGGGCACGCACGCGCACATGCATGCACGTCACTCATATATATACACACACACTCATAGTGAGTTTTACACAGTTCTTCTTCACTGTATTTAGTTTTTAACCAAAACACTTGAGATTTTTTTCCAATAGCAAAAATCAGATTTCTTTTAATTGTGAAAAAAAACTGTAATAAAATAAATAAATAAAATAAAATAAAATCACAGGATATGACATTTTAAACATGTTCAGTCAGAACACAACACATATTTCATCACGTATTTAACGGAGCCCCTTTCCGTCCCTTTAACTGTTTTTATTGCTCGTAAGAGCAGCTGTTAATTGTGCAGCACTTTCACAGTGGTTTATTTCCATAAATGTTTAACTTCATTAACTTTTATAACACATGCAATTGAACCATTAAGTTAATGTACACCTCTGAACGTAAAGGCACTCTTGGCCGTGTAGTGCGGTGCCTCCATTGATGTTGCAGGAAAGCTTGAGCAGGAAGAAGAGTGGGAGCGGGATTCATGGAACGATGAGGAGGAAGTAGAGTTGGAGAGCCTGTTACAACTTCACAGAAAAGCCATGTTATGTGATTCCACTTCATTGTGTTTTATTAGACGCATCCCCAGTTCAACTTTGGGAGGATACACAAACCTCAGGTCTGTGCCAAATCAAACGGCTGGTGTGGCGACCCATTTGGAAATAAAGGAGCAGCCAAAAAGTACCTAAAGAATTACCAAGTTTGAGTCTGACTGTGAATTTTGTCCAAAATACTTGTGTTTCACTGAGCATTAAGTCTACAGTGGACACCCGACGTCAGTATAAAGAGACATGATGCCAATTGTTGTTTGAGCAGTGTTGATACTCAACTTTGTGGACACGATAACGCAAAAATGAAGCGATGAGATATTGTCAGTGCGTCTGCTAAAAATCTTGATAAGTTCAAATCTCGGTGACTTTGACCTCAACGAGAAGAAAGTCACCTAGGACTTTCAAATTGATACAATAGGTGCATCTACTAGGAGGCTGAGGGGCTGCACTGGCGGCTGTCAGTATTTTTGTAATTTACTATAAGCAGCAATATTCTCAAACAACTAAACCACCACCAACAATAACCTCAGTTACACTTCTAACACTGTTATTTCCACCACTACGTTGTAGATTTTACCCACCAGTGAAAACAAAGCAGAAGATTTTAATGAGAGTACATTGCTTATCCCCAAAGGGACAGCTTGAACTGTACAGTATCTAGCACTGTGTTCTTATTCTTGCTTCTATTGAACATGAACAAATATAGTCCGATACACTTTTTGGGACCTTTCACAACCAAGTGAGTGCTGATGAAAGTATTAGGGCTGCCAC